CTTGCAGCATATCAGTGGAAATTTCCACGTGATGGCTCTGTTCCATCAGCCACTCAAGACATGATTTTTATCAGAGGCCACCATAACCGGGCACTGGCGTTTACCTTATTTATTTGAAACATTTTTATACCACCCTTTTAAAAACCCCAGAGTGCTTTGTTAACATTTGACAATAAAACCAGTCTATTAAAACCTAAGAAATGCAGTTGAAACAGCAACATCCACAGTAACCAGACAATTCAAAATGGCATTGGTATCAGTGACCAGGATAGGCCTGGGGGAACAGGTATGTTCTCAGGATGCACCAAGAACTCAACAGAGCTTGTGCCCACCTCGTTTCAATGCTCCAGAAATTGTTCCACAAACTAGAAAAGGCCCTGCCCACGTCCTGAAACTCTGGCCTACCTGGCAGCAAGTCAGTGTGCCGTGTCCAAAGTTGAAAGTCTGAGGGCCGATCCACACACATGAAGCCCAGAGTCCAAAGGTCAGAAACTAAGGTTCAGGGTCAGTCCAAGTTGCTAAGTCTGAAGTCCAGCAGACAGGATACAGGCCAAACCCAAAGCACAATCCCATAGAGGCCCTGAAGCACCCAACTCCCTCAACATGGACAGTTGAGCAGACACAGCACCTCAGCTCTGCTTCCCCCTTTGTATTCTACATGCCGATTGCAGCATCTGGGCTTAATGAGGCATGTGACCCTCACCTGTTCTGAGCCTACTGCAGCTGAGGAATCACATAGCGAGCCCCACCTGGCCAGCTAGGGAGCTGGGCTGTGGGTTATTGCCTGCCCCAGCCTCCTACCTAGAGAGTCTCTTCTGCTGCTCCCCACACTTCAGAGCCTGCATTGTTTGTGGAGACAGAGGCCCTTCTGGCTCTGGTGATGGGTCCTGCTGATCTGGTTCCTGTGCATTGACCTCCAGCCCCTCACCATCCTCCACCATTTCCTACACCAACCTCAGCTTCCCCATTCCCAACATGCCCCAGTGTGTCCCTATCCCAGTGACACTCCTTGCTGGGATCTTCCTCCTCCTCCCAGTTCATGGCACCCTGGTTACCACCAGAGGGAATTCTTCAGGATATGGCACCACCAGGATGGCCTTTTCGGTTGTAGCCCCTCGCTTGTGGAATGAAGTAACGTAGAGATTTAACAGCCAGAATTGAAACCAACAGAGTGAGAAAGGTTCCTTTAAATATTTGGCAGAAGAAATGGATAAATCTGCTAGATATACTATGTTGCACTTAACCACTATCCCCACCTCGAAAGTTGTGGCAGCAGTGACAGACATTTATTGATTGATTGATTGATTGATTGATTGATTGATTGCATCTTTATCCCACCTTTCCTCCATGGAGCTTGAGGTGGCATGTATAGTTCTCCACCTCTGCATTTTATCCTCACAACAAGCCTGTGAGGTAGGTTAGGCTGAGAGCCAATGGCTGGCCTAAGGTCACCCAGTGAACTTCATGGCTGAGCCCTGGTCTCCCAGGTCTTAATCCAACACTCTAACCACTACACCACACTGCCTCTCTGGCATGTCTGGATTCAGCTTCTGCCTAATGCTGAACATTTAAAGTGACACTGCATATCTCCACAATGAGGGCAGGGCTGCCCAGGCAGGATTTTTTGTGCTTCTTCCCATCCTTGCTGTTTTGTTCTCTGTCACCCATACAGTATTTGGTGCTTATTTTTACATTCATTAACTAACCATCATTTCATGAAACAATCAGATGTCTGTAGTGACAGTCAACAATCAGTCAGAACTGATAATGAACAGAAGCCACACATTTAAGTAAAGCATATGCATTTTATACATCCCTTTCCGAATGTCTGGAATTGAACTTTTTTTTTTTTTAAGTAGTCACTGCTCTAGCTGGCAGCTAGGGACCATTTTGCAAATAAGCACATGGTGACTATGTGTTTTGTTGGAACCTGAGTGTTGTCAGCAGATTCGGGAACTGAAATTGGAAGAAAACAGGAGTATGGACACGACAGGCTTTACATCCAGGTAAAAGGTAAAGGGACCCCTGACCATTAGGTCCAGTTGTGACCAACTCTGGGGTTGCGGTTCTCATCTCACTTTACTGGCTAAGGGAGCCAGCGTACAGCTTCCGGGTCATGTGGCCAGCATGACTAAGCCACTTCTGGCGAACCAGAGCAGCGCACGGAAACGCCGTTTACCTTCCCGCCGGAGCAGTACCTATTTATCTACTTGCACTTTGACGTGCTTTCGAACTGCTAGGTTGGCAGGAGCAGGAACCGAGCAACGGGAGCTTACCCCGTCGCGGGGATTCAAACTGCCGACCTTCTGATTGGCAAGTCCTAGCCTCTGTGGTTTTACCCACAGCGCCACCTGCGTCCAGGTAGGAAACTTTAAAAATGAAACCTAATATTACTCAGAGTATTGGAACCAATAACATGTTTAAGCAGGAGTAGAGCAGTTCCTTTGAATCTAGGGCGGCAAGATGCCTGCCTATGGTCCCTGACTGCACAAGCATTGCTCCAGTCTTAGGTCTGAACTTTCCTTCAGCCTGAGGAATAAATGGTGCTGGTGCTGCTGTCACTGTTGATCAGCTGTTTGGCTGCCAGAGTGATTTGCTGTTAAACAGCTGCTTACTGCCAAACAACTGCCTTGTGATTAAAGCAGCAATATTCTCCCATCACCCACACTGCAAGATAAATTCCAAGCAAGTTTTGGCAAAAACTTATGCAGCGACCACCTGAATAATGCTAAGAATATAATCTCTTCACAATTAATACAGTAATGATAATTATTTGTCATTACTTGTATCATCATCATCATCATTATTTATCTAGAGACCGATGTCCCGCCCTCATCAGAAGTGATCTCAGAGCAGATCACCACAATCTAAAACACAACAAATCAATTAAAATGGAAAATAAAATATATTATCAGACCTTTCTACCTTTTCATTAATAGAGTGTTCCACATAAATTATTGTAGTAAAACTAATGAAAACTCAGTAACAACAAATTGAGGGGAGGTCCTGTAGTTAGTGGCAGTAAATGTGCTTTGGAGGCAAGAAGATTGAAGGATCTGTACACGGCATTTTCAGTTAAAAGGCAATCGGCAAAGCTAGGAGCAGAAAAATCCGTCCCTCAGACCTTGGAGCAAAGCGGGTAGGATTCAATATGTGTTCATTTATGTGACCACTACTATCCTCACACTAGAGATGAGATTCTCAAGCAAAGAGTGCCTTTGTCTCAGGCAGGGGTAAGGAAACTGTGGTCCTCCAGATGTTATTGGAATCCAGTTCCCCTCATCCGATGCTGACTGGGGTTGATGGGAGGTGGATTCCAACAACATCTGGACAGCCACAGGTTCCCTATCTCTGGCCTAAACCTATGCCCACTGTGTGGATGAAAGAGGTGAGATTTCCACCAGTCCTTTAGTGCAGCCGTGTGTGTTTTTCTTCTTTAATTAAGGTAAGTACTTACCTAACTAACCAGGTTGTTATGAGGATGCTGCTTTGAGCTCCTGGGTGGAAAGGCAGAATCCTGATCCTAACACACATACACATGTATGTAAGTTTAAGCCCAAGGCTGCAATCCTAACCATACTGACCTGAGAACGAGCGCCACTGAACATAGTGGGATTTATTTATAAGAAAGTGTGCCTAGGAATGAACAACATCTCTCACTTGAAAACCCACAGTACACTGTGCTGAATTGTGGCCTTTGCTTTCTGACAAATCAACCAAATGTACAACAATAAAACAGTGCATTGTGATGTATTAAATGCACAATGTTGGTACCTGGAGCCTGAAATAGGAAGCCGGGTCCCTTTCACTTCAGGTCAATCTGATCAAGGAGTGAATGTCTGGGAAGATATCAGCACAGATACCTCTGCACTGCTAAGAAGGGAGTAGGGAAGAGAGCCCCAAGGCAGAATGTGCCCTTGCCTGTTTCCTTTTGGTTTTGAGAATTGCCTTTAGAAGCCTATAAAAAGTTCAGATATTTCTAAATGTGGTGTGGTTGGGCGTGTGTGTGTGGAGGGTGTTTTTTGTTTTGTTTTGTTTTCTTTGCATGTTTTCCACCCATAATTGTTTTAATACAAACTAGGAAAGGTTTTAAGACATCCAAACTAGGAAAGGTTTTTTACACCAGAAACAGAATATATCAAAGTGATGGAAAGTTTTTATTAACAAAGCACTATTGTATGGAATAAGAGAGTTCCCAAATTAATAAGTTATATATTTTTTAATGGGGGGGGGGGACAGATTACTGATGCCACAATTCTAAACTTTTTCACAACGAGTTCACACAGAGGGCTGGACTCAACTAAATACTTGTGCTAGTGGGAATCAGCACAATGAGGCTTCAAGGTATGCAGACCCTCCAAGTGTCCCTGTTTTCCAGGGACAGTCCCTGATTTACAGAAGCTATTCCGGTTTCTGATTTCATCCTGGGATGTCTCGCTTTCCCTTAGCTTAGGACATCCCTTTTTTTTAAAGGAGAAATGTTGGAGGTTATGGAGTTATCCAACTCCCGAGTCGTCTGAAGACAGCCCTGTACAGGGAAGTTATTTAATGTTTTATTATGTTTGTTATATATGTTGGAAGCCACCCAGAGTGACTGGGACAATCCAGTCAGATGGGCAGGGTATAAATAGTAAAATTATTATTATGGAACGGGACATCCTATTTTCATTGGGAAAATGTTGGAGGGTATGGGTAGGTGGTAGTGCACATACCTTGCATATAGACACTCAGGTTTGCTCCTGGGCACTTCTGGTTAGCTTAAACCCCTTGAAAGAAGCTAAAGACCCCCAGCTAAAATAGTTTTTAAAAACAGTACAGAAACAACTGAAAATGGGTTTCAAAACAAGACAACATGAAGTCAGAGACCTTTTCATTAAGCTAGGAAAGCTGGGTTTGTCTCTTTAGAAGACAGCCTTATGTATATTCATAAACCCAACCAAGGTCCTAGGCTAATGTACCCTGCCACTCAATAGGCCTAAGGATATCTTTTGCAGTTGCTTTTAGTTCTCCACAAGCCCCATAGACTCATTCTCCTATAGTCTCCAAGTTGTATGTGTAATCTTTTCTGCCTTTGGGAAACACTCATTACCTTTCTCTGTCCTCACCAGAAGAATTTGACGAGCTCCAAGTTCACAACACCTTAAAGGGTGGCATTGTTTTCGAAGACAGCTCAGCCACTGCAATGAGGCCTCACTTAGGTTGCGGTTGACTTGAGGCACACCTTCATTTCAAAGTTACCTGTAAAAAAAAAAAACCACACACACAAACAAAGCCTGCTACCTATAAAAATAGCCCTGGTGTTTGGCATGAATGCCTGTTAAATATCTTTTCAAAGTATGCCTAGCACACCCTTAATTGCTTTCAAGAGCTCTCTGGCACTTTTTGTCTAGGGCCAATTCGTTCCTACGTGCAGAAATGCAGAGCTCTCAAAATCAAGCCACTCCCTTGGCTCATGCAAGGAACCTCTGCTCTACCCATTGTGACACTGAAATGTACATGGTATGTATTTATTATGTGAATTTTTAAATGGCTGGATACCAAAGGTACATCTTCCCCCTACTCTTTAAAGAAGGAATGGGATAAAGGCAGGGGGCTCCTCCAGATGACATGTTTATTGAGCATCCTTCCTAACTCGTTTGCACAACACTTACCGTATTTTTTGCTCTACAAGACTCACTTTTTTCCTCCTAAAAAGGGCAAATGTGTGTGCGTCTTATGGAGCGAATGCAGGCTGCGCAGCTATCCCAGAAGCCAGAACAGCAAGAGGTATTGCTGCTTTCACTGCGCAGTGATCCCTCTTGCTTTTCTGGCTTCTGAGATTCAGAATATTTTTTTCCTTGTTTTCCTCCTCCAAAAACTAGGTGCATCTTGTGGTCTGGTGTGTCTTATAGAGCGAAAAATATGGTATGTATAGCTGAGCTTGTATCCTCTCTTTATTGAGCTTTCATTCTGATTTGCTTGCAGGGAAGTTATACAACAACAAACATTTGTCCTCCATTCGCTTGTGGGGCATTCATACATCTTCCTGTTAGCCATTTCTTCATGTCACACTTTTTGATGCATTTCCCTAGTGCCCTTCAAACGGCAAAAAGTCTTATTCTTCTTCAACATGGATTTGTTGCATGAGGTTGACGGAGCCCTTTATAATAATAATTTAATAGTAATAATTTATTATTCATACCCCGCCCATCTGGCTGGGTTTCCCCAGCCACTCTGGGCGGCTTCCAACAAAACATTAAAATACAAGAATTCATCAGCTATTAAAAGCTTCCCTAAACAGGGCTGCCTTCAGATGTCTTCTAAAAAATAATAATAATTTAATCGGCTTTAACTGCTCCAGGTGTGCACTTGGATCCCTACCACAAAATAGTCTGGAGCCACCCATAACACATACCCATGAACAGGAGGAGATGGGGAGCAGGGTGACTCTGGTTTTACCCTTCCACCTTTGCTCTTGAAAAGACATGCACACAGCTTGCAAATTGACTCCTGGTTGCCTCTTGACCCTCCTGCTTCGGTCAAGCTGTCCACTTTTCTTCCTGGTATGTTTACTCAATCAACCGTACGTCTGGGATTTTTTTTTAGAGCAAATGCTTCAGGGTTTCCTCCCATCACCACAGAACTACTACAGTGCCTTCCCTTTTTTTTAACCTCTACACAATAGCATTCTGAAGCTTATATAAAGCAACAGGAAGGTTCTAACCAGGGACTTATTTGAACACCCTTCCAGCCACAACCACCACATGCTGAGGGCAGCTGTGTGCAGGCCAATGCCACATGGAGAAGTCGGTGTGGGTCAGGATTTTTGCAGACTGCTATGAATGGTTCTCATCTTGAGAGCAAGTCCTAACTGTTCTAGGCTAAGAGTCCAAGATGCCTAGGAGACATGTCTGTGCTCCTGGGAGAGTAAGAGAAGATAACAAGCCAACTGATTTCAATGCATTTTCTCTGGAGGATGTTGATTCTGTGTTCTGTCTTTAACTAAACTGAAATAACAGGTCTGACATCCTTTTGGTGGGGGTGGGGATGGGGAAAAGCGACCGGATCCAGTTTGTCCTTTTGATTGATTTCCCAGCATCAGCACTGAACTCACTGACAACTGGGAGCCAAAACAATCGGCTTAGCTCAACCGAACATGCTGATAACTAAGTTGCGCTGCAGCTATCTGCCAAAGCAGAGGTTTCCTCCAAAATGATTTCTCTTTTTTTTATGTGTATGCATGTGTGTGTGTGTGTGTGTGTGTGTGTGTGTGTGTGAGAGAGAGAGAGAGAGAGAGAGAGAGAGAGAGTCTCTTTACCCAGACAGAAAAGTACGATAAGAGGTAGCTCTATGTACAAAGCAGTTGTGCTCAAATTCCAGTGTTAAAGTACTGCCGTATCGCTCTCACTTTTGACCTGTTCTGAGATATGGCCTTAAGATCTTGTCGTTACATTCTCCAAAGCAAAATAAGTTTGATTTCCTATTAAGAATGGATACCAAGGAGTCACTGGAAAACAGGACTGTTGATGTTATTTCAAGTTACTGCTTAGGGCCACCAACAGGTGAGCAAGTGGCTTCAGGCATTTGAAATGGATGCAATGCCTCCTCCTTTCATGTAGCAATTCTTGAGCATTCTGCAGTAAACTGCTAAAACCACTGAGAATTATACTAGGGAAAGGGTTTGCTTACAGAGATTCCCAACTTATTTGGCCTACTGCCCCTTTTCGGGGGGGGGGATACTCGGCGCCCCCTGGAGATCTACCTTCTTTAAGCAAACAAACAGAAAGATGCAGAGAAATTTGAGTTTTTTAATTGTCTTCTCTTCTTTCTTTATGCTTCCACCCCCCTTATTTTTATTCAATGCCCCCCCAATTGCAGTGGAGGTTACTACTGCCCCCCTGGATCATTCCAGTGTCCCCCCAGGGGCTGGTATCACCCACTTTGAGAAACGCTGCTTAAGAGGAAGGGTGAGAGGTAAGGAGCTGGCCACTTAGGGATCACTTCCCATCAGTTGCAAAAGCAGGAAAACAAAAGGTTTTGTCACTTGTGACTGGAAAAACAAAATACCCCCCCCCGTCTCTCTCTCTCTCTCTCTCTCTCTCTCTCTCTCTCTCTCTCACACACACACACACACACTGAACAATTATCTGCTCCCCTTTAACAGTGTCTCAAATATGCCACCAAAGGATATCTCATAGCAAGGTGGCTTCTAAGTTGCTCTTCACTCAGAAACACAGCTGCATCAAGGAGGACTGCCCTTTGCACCCTCCCCCAAATTGTGCAGATGTTTTCCTGTCATGTCCAAGTGTCCCTCCCAAGCAATGCTTTCCAATGTGTTGAAATCAGCCCTCTCAAGTTATGCTTCTCCTCCAAAGCAGAAGCTCTGACCTGAAATAGTAACATCTAAAAATATTCACTTGCCCTGGTCGGTTCCTCCACATTTTTCAACGAGCCCAACGGACAGGATTTTGTGCTTTACTTATTAGCAAGGGCTTTTTGTTAAACAATAAGCTGATCAATAAAGCATCAAACCATTGCCAAGCAGGAACCTTCTTTAGTGAGGGGCAGCTCTTGTTTGAGCTTTTATAACGGGGTGTGTGTGTGTGTGTGTGTGTGTGTGAGAGAGAGAGAGAGAGAGAGAGAGAGAGAGAGAGAGAAATAGTCCCCATGCAAGCAGAAGATTCATACAGTTCAGCGTAGAGTCTCAACCTCTAGGCTGGTCAAGGAACTACAGTAGGGTGAAGAGTGCTGCAGTATGGGAGAATGGGAGCCGGCTGTTCACCTGACGCACACCTCATCCTGTCTTCTCACAGGCACCTTGAGATATACCCCCGTTTGATAACTGAAGGTTGGTTCACACATATACACACAACGTTTGATGGATTCATTCAACATTTGAATATGCGAGTGGCAATCCCGTATGCAAACTGATCCCATTGAAAACTGGTGAAACAAACATTCTACCTGCGGTGTTAAATCTGGGGGTGAGCATAATAATAATAATTTGGTACTGTAGTCATTGATCAATGATTGCGATAGCACAAGCCTTCCCTGAGAAAGAAGAGGCCTTGAGCCATGGGTGTAGCCAGGATTTTTGTTAGGGAGGGCAGGACTTTGGGGGGGGGCAGAACCTACGTGATTGGTCAGTTAATTATTTCTATTGTTTTACTTGATAGCTACACCTGTGCCTTGAGCTGTTGCTGGTAGCCATGAGTAGGGTGGTGGAACCTTAGCTCAGTGCATAGGAGCCAACTCATAGGGGCTGAGGTCCCTTCGCCCCCCTCCAATAAAATATTTGAGGGGACTGAGCCCCCCCCAATAGATGGGCATTCAAATAGCGTGTGTGTGCTGTGTCTTGTGATCAGTTATGTGACATGGGGCTTACGTGGGCCTCCTCAATATTTTATTTAAGTTGGCACCCCTGGTTCAGTGACAAGAGCGTATGCTTTGCATTCTGAAGATACTAGGAGAACTGTTGGCGGCCCAAATGCACCAATGTAGTTTCCTCTAACTGTTGTGGACTCCATCAGTCTCAACATGTATTAGTCATTGGTGAGGGATAATGGGAGTGAAGAGTCCCACATTATCTGGAAAGCACTGTAAAGGCCTGTAGTGAGCAACACTAAGCTGGATGGACAAATAGTCTGCCTCGATATAAGGCAGTGCGCTGTATCTTAGGAGTATATTGGGTCTCGGGGTCTCTTCCTGAGTATCCAAGACATACTAGAAATCAGTAGATTTCAATGCGAAGGAAGATGCCTTTAAGAAACAAATAGACATTCCAGCAATGCAGCCATCTTTCAGTCCCTGCATGCTGCACATAGTGCAATAGTGAAGGAATGGACATGGGAGAGAAGCAACTGTTAAAGGTGATGACCTTCAGATGAGATACTGAACTGACCTCTGTTCTGGTGGCTGTCCAGGTGGAGATTAAGAATTCCACAGAGCACTGTTTGCAGAACACCATCTTCTGCTCCAAATCTTCTGCTAATGAAGGTTTGGATTTCAAAAGCCGAACTAACAGTCCCAAAGGAAGAAGCGTCCCGGTTCACTCGATGGAACGCTACAAGAGGAAAACAAGCCGAAACCTGTTGTTGTTGTTTTAAATGGTTAAATATTAGCCCAGGTCACTAGGCTGAATGCAACCACCTGTACTTGATGATGGAGGCTGAGATAAGGAAGCCTCAACAATACAAATGCAACCGGTGGAGAGGCCAGTTTGGGCAGGCTGAATTGGAGGAAGTCCCAACTGCACCCAGAAATGCCACATGTACAAATGCACCAAAGATGCTGACATTCAGGAGCACCTGAAGAACTGGGGGCGGGGGACCTCAGGCCTGGGTGGATAAATGTGGCCCTGCACACCTCTCTATCTGGCCCTGAGGACTCTCCCCAGCCACACCCTTTACTGGCCCTGCTACACACCATCCACCAGTGCTTTTGCCTGGCTGGAATATGTCCTTCAACTCTGACAATCCCTCTTGCTTCCCTGGATAAGAATAATAGAATCATAGAATTGTAGACTTGGAAGGGACCGCGATGATCATCCAGCCCCCTGAAATGCAGGAATCTTTTGCCCAATGTGGGGCTTGAACCCACAATCCTGAGACTGAGAGTCTCATGCTCTACCGACTGAGCTATCACAGAGGATAGCGTGGGGTGTGAGAATGCTTGCAGAAACAAATTTAGTCATTGCTCCACCTCCTTTTTCCTCTGGCCATGCCCACCAGGTGCATGTGGTCCCCAGAAGCTTGTGGAGAAGGGAAATTTAGGAAAATTTTTCATTTCATTTCTATACCGCTTTATATTATTAAGGAAATAATAATAATCTCACAATGCATTAAAACAACAACAACAACAACAACAACAAAACAACAATAATAATTTTATTTATATCCCACCCTCCCCAGCCAAGCTGGGCTCAGGGAGGCTAACATTAAAGTATATAATACATTAAAACATAAAATCCAAAGTATATAATACATTAAAACATAAAATCCAAATGAAACAATCCAGAATAAAACATTACTGAAGAAAGTCGAACATAAAGTATAAATTCAAAGCAACAAAATTAGCAGGAAACTAAAATGTTTTCTTAAAGATTTCCAAATAAAAAAATGACAAAGGAGAATTGCAACCACGGAATGCGCATTTAACACAGCAAAGTTACCAAAAATGAAAAGAAAAATTCCTTAAACATTTCGAAATAAAACATGACTAAAGGAAGTCAAATATAAAATACAAATAATTAACATGAGAATAAAATATTATCTCAAGCATATCTGCTGTTGTTGCAGCCAATCCTGCTCATGGTGGTTCATGGCGGGCAACGGCTGTGGAAGCTCAGGCTCACTTGGGTCTGCATGAAGCGAAAGCCAAGGTGGCCTGCGGCCCCCAGGCTGTAGAAGGCTTCCCACCTCTGAATTGGGCCAAGCTACACTTTTGTCAATGAGTGTTTTTAAGAATGACATCAGGTGCCTGGATCACCTCCAAATATTTTAACCAGAAGAAGCTGATCTGCCATGCTTTTTTAACCTTGCAAGTTTCAACCTGGCAATAATCCTTCGTAATAAGAGGTGAAAACTGGAGCAGGGGCACTGAGGCTGGGAATGATAAAGAGAATCTGAAACTGGTGAAAAGTTAAAAGCTACCTACATCCCTATCCAGACATTCTCCTTTCTTTCTAAAGAGAAATTAAAATTGCATCTTTTTTTTCAAATTGCCACCGAAATGACATTGTACGCTGGATTAAAATGCTGAGCCCACTTTTAATTTCCTCCTCTTTACATGCAAGTTCATGACTGGCAGGTTGTGTCGCCCTGTTCTTATCATGTTAAAGGCCACCATGGCAAAAAGCCAGAAAGCGCTTTCATAGTCTTTTGACACGGTGCTGGGGATTTTTCTTGTCTGAATAGCAAGGCCTTATTCTCCCTGTTTCCTCTGTTCCCCATTATATAGCCCAGCAGCCATTCAAATCAAATAATGGTGTGTTGTGTTTTGTTTGTTGGCTCTGAACACACCAGCAGCAGTGAAGATGCGTGGGGCGCACTCACAATCCTTGGAAACGGTTGATGAAATACAAACTCTTGGGGAGGGGTGCGGTGCGGGTGGAAGCACACAAAAGGCGGGTGTCAAAAGGGTCACTTTATTGAGCCACAGGGCTTTTGATTCCGGCCACCAGTACGAAAGGACGACTTGCTGTGAGACATCAAAAGGAAACAACCTCTCCCGATCACTTTCTGTCACGGCTTGTGCAAACAGCAATGTCACAGAAATGTTAAATGCTTGAGAGCCATGTGCCACACTACCAGAGCCGAATCACAAGGCACCTTCAGCCATTACACGCAGACGCAACCCAAGCCAGCAATCCTAAACTCCCATTATTGGGGAGCAAACCCCGCCAAACTTGGTAGGGCTTCTAAGAAAGCATGTATAGGCTTGCACAGTTGTTTTTGCCAACAATGCTTCAACATGCGGATAGAAGATCAGAGCCCTCTCTGATCTACAATCCACACTCTTTGTAGCTGTGTCTAGAAAATGCTCAGTGTGCACCTGGGATGTTTAGCACACCAGCACAAAGCCTATTTTGTTGGTGGTGGCGGCGGCAGCAGCAGCATGCTCAAAGGTTAAACTGATCTGCTTGGAACTCTGTGCATGCAACCGTCTTAGCATGTGCCTATATCACAAGCATATAACTTCACATGCACCTCTTGTGACTGATCGTAGAATCATAGAATTGCAGAGTTGGAAGAGACCCACAGAATCATCTAGTCCAACTCCCTGCAATGCAGGACTATGCAACTGGGACTATACAGGGATAGAACCTGGAACCTGGGCATTATCAGCACCAAGCTCTAACTAACTGAGCTATCTAGACTCTTTTGTGAATGGCCAGAAGCCTGAAAAATCCCCATGTCTAGGTTTTTATTGTTTATTAATGAAATTTAGAATTATTATCCCAGTCTTGTCCTCGCGCATGATGCACCAAAACGCCTTAATTGACAAAGATGACACTTAGTCTAAAAATAGTATAAAATCCTCAATTGTAATGAGTTGGATGCGGAGAGGATTGCCTTATGTTTTGAATACTGAGGACCATCATTTTATTTTTTATTTAATGCCCTTCATGCAAATATATCCTAGGCAATTCCCAGTAATATTTTTTTAACATCATACAATTACATAATTAAAATGCTGTTGATGCCCTCCCCAGACAATTAAAGGGACTTCCCAACCAACTTCAAAACCAACTTCGGTGACTCAATTACAGCATTTAATGTATAAGCTTCCTTTCCCATCAGAACATTTTAAAAAGCATTTCACTTTAAAAATCAACTAGCTGTGATGTTTACATTTTACCTCCATTCTCGGAGGCAGGATACCTCTGAATGCCAGGTGCTGGGAAGTGAGAAGAGTGATGCTGCATTCTGGTCCTTCTTGCAGGCTTCTCATAGACATCTGATTGGCCGCTGTAAAAACAGGATGCTGGACCAAATGGGCCATAGAGACCTGACCCAGCAGGCTCTTCTTACATTCTTAACCAGATGCTTAAAAGACAACAGCACACGCACCAGACAAACTTCCCAGGGGGTGGGGGGATTATATAGAGCAGCACAACTCCCCCCCAAAAAAAGCCGCTGTCAGGGCCGCCTCAGGTCCCAGCTCACAAGAGACCAACGCCAAGTCCACTTTATTTACAAAAGTCTTTATTGAAGTACATTGTTTGTTCCACAGCCGAGGCGCGCAGCCCCACGTCTGTTACGCTTAGACCGCTGAAGTCCCCTCTGAATCAGTCCCGCCTCCACACCAGTTTAAGAGGCTTCTGCTGGTCCACCTCTTCCTGTCCTTCCTTTTCCGCAGGGCCTTTCTGCCCCCCTGGGTTCCTTCCCTCCTGCTTTCCCCTGACGCTGAGTCCCCAGACGCCTGCTCCCCCCTCCGTGCTTTGGGACCAGGCTCCTCCTCCGGGCTCTCCGCATTTCCGCGCGCCTCCACATTTGAACTTGGCGCGCGTTCGCTACCTCTGACCTTCCTCTTGACAGCTACACTACTCTCTGTACTACTCTCCGCCCCTTCCGGCAGGACGTCTTGCCCCGATCTCCTTCCCCTCTCTGCTTCCTGCTCTGCTTCGTCTGTCACACTGGGAACTCCACCCTCTTCACTCCGTTCCGGCGGGGAAGCCGGCCCCGATCTCCAACTCCCACTCGGGGTTTCCCTGCTGCTCCCCTGCTCCTGACGAGTCCCCCCTGTGGCTCCCCTTGGCCTGACCAGGGGCGCCCCCTTTTGGGAATCCTCCGATTCACTTGAAAGACTCATGGAAACCCTCAAGTCATTGTCATCCTCCTCCTCCTCGTTCCGGGATTCTTCCCCCTCGCTCTCAGTCTCCTCCCTCATCTGTGCCTCTCTCCCTGAACCCCTGACAGCCGCCTTCTCTCTTACTGCCAGCCACTTGATTTCTGAAGGTGGTTGCCTTCCAAGAAGGACCTCCGTCTAGCTTTGCTCCCATGCAGGTTGACATGCTGATTTATACACAGAGATGACTTCTAAACTCAAGGTCTTCCATAGGCTGTGACCCACTGACATGTTCGAACTTTTGGAAAGTTCTGCTCTGCATGCAAAGTGAATGGGGCACATTCGGCTGGTGGGGAGGCAGCCCGAGGCAGTGGGGAGAGGCAGGGCTTCAGCCAGTCCTGCAGCACCCTCATGAGATCCCGTGGGAAATTGTAGCATCCCATGCAATGGGGGTGGTAGAGGGTCAAGTGCAGGGGTCACCAAACTAAGGCCCGCGGGCCGGATAAGGCCCGAGGGACTCGTTTATCCGGCCTGCAGCCCACTCTTACCGGCGCTGCGCGGCTGCCCACTTCTGGGTTGGAGGAGCACCAGAAATAGCTTGTGCACATGCGCAAGAGCAAGCATTATTTCCGGTGCACATCCAGGTTGGAGGAGGCCCGTGCATATGGCTATTTCCAGTGCTCCTCTGACCCGGAAGTGCGCCGGGAATAGTGTGTGCGCATGCGTGTGGGCACGTGCTCCCCTGCCCTCTGCGCGAGTGGCGCTGGAGACACT